TTTTTTTAATTATGTAGCACCATTCCTACCAAAATCAACTGACAAAAACAATAAAGCCCAAGCAGAAAAACCATCACCAACAATAATAGCTAGCACTTATTGGGTGCTTTCTATACAGAAGAAACATAATAGCACAAATCAACAAACTTCTTCTTCTCCAGCAACCTAGCTCTCTCCAAATTACTGATGAAACAATTGAGAGACAAAAGAGAACCTTGTCAATTGATAAATGGTGCCACTAGGTTCCAAACTCAAAAGTCTAGCTCCAGAACTTACTTTTTTTAAAATGATCTGTTTGTCCTATACTAACCAAATAAAAGATCCGGGTAAAACTGTACCTTTGTTTATCATGGAGAGTTTTTTTTTTTTTTTTTTAAGGTAAATGGTACCATGGAAATCAAGAAAACTAAACTGTCCAATGAGGTCCATTGCCATGTGTTGCAATTAAACAGATACTTCAAATTGAGATGTACTACAAATGTAAAACACCCAATTCCAGGACATGAATAGTAACCCAACTCCTTAACAGTTTCTACATAGATTAGTACAAAATGGTACTATTTTTAATAAAAAGGTAATAGATTAAATAAATGTTTTAATATGGTTATCAGAAGATTTAACACTTCATATTTGGCTCAATTACTCTTGAACCAGTCTTATACAGAAAAGACACTAGTGTTTTATAGAATGTTTCTAAGCCAATCTTTCCCTTGTTTTATTTTGTGATCTTAAGAAAAAATTGTATGTTTGGAAAAAAAACAGGGATTAAAACAGACCTAAAATATGCTTAGTTTTGGTATCTAAAGTCATTTTTCCTTTAAAAAGGTTGGTGGTCATTTTGATGAAATAACTAACACCATACCTGGGACAATAAAATACATGAATGTGGACTATCTTGTTTAGAAGCACAAGCGAACACAAACACAGACGCTTTAAGCTAGTCAAATCTGCCAGAATTTGACAGTCAATAATGACAGTGACAGGCTTTTATTTTTGAATAAGAATCCATGAAATCATACAAAGTATAACTGAATGAATATCAACCCTTAAAAAGCAGGAACACAAACAAACAAACAAACAGCAGGAACAAAGCCAAAGCCAGAATATTGACAATGTTAAACAATAGCTGAAATTTTGATGAGATGATGGCAATACCCTGTTCTTGAAAGTACTTTCCCATAAGTTACCCATTAATTACAAAATGGTGAATAATTTTCATGGAGAAATACAGCACACATCATCTGAACCAAATTTTATGGTTGAGGCACACCAACATATGAACTTCAGGATATGATGTACTGGGAAGAACAGAACATTTCTTCAGTAGTATTCCTACCAAACACACAACAAACTAATCACAAGAAAACAACAAATTCCAACCAAGGGACATCCTACAGAATAATGCCCTGTCCTTTGTTGTTGTTTTATGTCAAGGTCAAGAAACAAACAAACAAACAAACAAAAAACTGAAGAGGTACCCTCAATTAAAAAGGACTAGCAACATGATAACCAATAAATGAATTCCATGATCTTAGAGTGGATTTTGAACTAGGAGACAGACAGGAGATGGATAGAGAAAACAGATAAAATCTGAAAATGAACTATAAAGTAAGTAATAATATGTGTTGACAGTGTCCTTGCTTTTTGGAATACTGAAGAACTTGGGGCTCCAAATTACTCTCAAATTTCGAACTCCCCCCCCCCCCCCCCCGTGCGTGCGTGCGTGCGTGCGTGCGTGCGTGCGTGCGTGTGTGTGTGTGTGTGTGTGTGTGTGTGTGTGTATGAATGTATGAATTTAGGATAAGAACAACAAAAATACAATAAAATGTGAAATAACTGGTTAATACAGGCAAGAGTAAATATTAGTTTCTTATGCTTTAATATTTTAAGATGCAAACTATACCAAAATAAAGTTTTTAGAAAACTGTCCTGTCCCAGATAAAATATTCTAATTACTTTGCAAGTCTGAATGTTTTAAACTTTATTACTGTATTAATACATTTATTTTATACTAAACTGTTTTAATAATATGAATCGTTAGATACTAATCATATTATTTATTCTATAAGGACTCAAAGCTCAGTGTCATTCTAGTTAGTAGATACTAATGACATACTCTATAAAATATGGGACTGTGTCTATTAATGCTCAGTATAATTCTGTATACTAGGACTATAGTCCCCCACCCAAAATGCACTCAAGCATTTGTTACATGAGGATACTCTTCTAGTATAGGCAAACTACAGAAAGCCCTTTATAAACACAGCCATCAATTGGGACAAAGCTTGAAGGACACTTCTCCAATTTAAAACAAAACTAGGAATGAGTCGGAGTAAATCTAAGGTAAAGACACGAGTCCCAGAATTATAAGGAAAGGAAACATTTTCCCTTCTCAATTACTATAATCATTCGATGACAGTGAAGATAACTTTCTTCTGAAAATTTTCAGATATACATTTCAAAAGATCAATCATATTTAAGTAGTTAAGTAGAGAGATTTCAAGAAACTTCACTAGAGATTTAATACTAATTAGCTACAACTTGAAGATGCTTATGATTTCCAACTCTCTTGAAAACCAAGACTTCCAAATGATTTTCTTTCTCAAAAGCCAGAGGTTTTATAAAAAAAGGATTTCAAGTAATAAGAGCACCAACTATTCACAAAAATGTATACATTTATACATCTACACTGCATATATGTCACACACATACATATAAGAAACAGGAAAAGTTTTCCTGCAAAGTACACATCATAGCAAATGGTAGCTTAAAACAATGACTTTTAACACCTATTCACACCACAATTAAATATGACACCAAAAAACCTCAATATTCTATTTAGAAGGGTTTTGTTACTTAAAAATAACAGTGACAAAAACAATATATGAGATGGATCTTAGTAGGTCTCGACAAAGAACTGGGACTGTGTGAGAAAATTCTCAAAAGATGGCTGCTGCCCAGGAAAACAGTATTTTCATATTGTTGTCTATAACATTGAAAATGTAATACAGATTACATATTAGATATTCCAAAATCTAGTTTCACTTCCCGTTAATTTGTTTCACTTAATTAAAATTTGACTTTCAAAAGTACATGTATTATTGTGATTCAAAACCGTACTTAAATGCAGTCAAAGGCACAAGATGAGAAAAACATCCTTACATTCTGTAGAACAAAACTCGGCCATGGTCATCTTCAAATCACTGTGTGCCTTATCAAAACTTAGCACAGTAATCCTGTGAGCCGGCACTGCAATGCTAGCAGTGCTATTTGGTGGACTCCAAGCGAACGGACAATTTCCAGGCGGGTTTTCAACCGCACAGATCTTCACATGAGAAACTGTCAAAACGGGTCCACTTCGCATTCATGAAGTACAAGCACTAACACATTTAGTATCAGGTTTTGTTCTTGTTTTGTTTTGAGATAGCCCCCTCATAACTTTGTCACAGATAATACCAAATAAATACATTTTATAGGTGACACAAAACAGTAAACTGCTTAAATAAACATCACCAAGAATGTTCCTAAATCAGTGCATCCTCCTTTCTGTTTTCCTATATACATCCTATTCTGTGTATGGCACTGAAATAGCCTCTGGTTTAATCTACTATGAGCTTTTTCACTGGTGAAAACAAGACAGACTTTAAGCCTCCAGCCAAACAAATCTGAGAGGGGTGGGGTAGGGGGACAGGGCGCGAGGTGGCGCAAGAACAGATGAAAACAAGGTAGGAGAGTTGTCTTCACAAGGAACTGAACCGACTCAACTCCAAAGACTGACACCTACTCGTCAGAAAAGAAAACCGACGCTACCATCCACTCCTAGCACCGGCCAGGCTCCATTCCACCTCTTCCCCTCGAATGCTACCCTGTAACCCCTGCCGAAGCACGCACTCGGCAGCCCCTCAACCCGGGTTAGCCCCTCTACTGCCCTGAACCAACCTGCTGGCTAACAGCGGAGGGGACACGTCTCACTCGGGGTGGGGAAAAGCGGAGACCGCCACAAGGTAGGGAGTCCCAGTACTTCCCGCTACCCAGAGCAGCACACTGAATGACAGCCCGGAGCGCGGAAGTTTGAAGGAAAACCAGTCAGACCCCACGGAATCGGAAAACTGAATTGCATTTGAACAGGAATGGGAGGTGGGGAGGGCGATGCGCGTCCATCACATGACAGCTAAAGAGGACCAGAGTCGTCGGGGCGTCCTCAAGAAAAAGGGGGGGGGGGGGAGCCGGCATGGGGAGGGTGCCGTCGTCATAGCAACACCCCCCATCCGTCCAGACTTCCAAAGAGGGAGGAAGAACTTCAAATCCCAACCGTCAGCGCTCGAGCGGCTCCTTCTTAAAGGGGTACACACAGATCCGAGGCCGCGCGCGAGAGGGCAGAGGCGGCCGCCCCCCCCCCCGGCCCTCGGGCGCCGCCCCCATCGACCCTCGGCCCTTGGCCGCCCCCCGCCCCGCGAGCGCCCCTGCAGCCCCAGGTCCGGGCGTCCTGGGAACTCGGGCAGCGTCTGCCCGGCCAGCCCCCCGGCGGCGGCGGCGGCGGCGGCGGCGGCAAGAAGGGGGTGTGTGAGCGTCCGGCGGGGGCGCGGACCGGCCCGCCGCCTCTGGGTCCCCTCCACCCCGGCGCCGAGCCGCGGTGACAGGGGGGACCGGCGGGTGGCGACGGGCACCGCGGAGTTTCGGGGCAGCGCGAGCTGGCGGGCGGGCGGGCGGCTTCCGCGGGGAGCACGGAGAGTGGGTCCGAACTAACAGTTCCTCGGGAGCCCGGAGCCGGGCAGGTTGGCAGGCGGGCGGGCAGCCGGGCGCGGATCGCGCCGGCCAGGGAGCCCCGAGACAAAAGGCGCCGCCGGGGCCGCCGCGCCGCCGCCGCCGCCGCCGCCGCCGCTCCCATCGCTCCCCATTGAACTGACCCGAACCGGAGCTCCAACTACACCCCTCAGCCACAAACTCCTCCGGCAGCCGCAGAGCGGCGCCGAACCCGGCCCGGCCCGTGTCTCTCTTACCTACACAGTGCATGAGGCGGTGGCGCCAAGAGTCGAGTTCCCGCCGGAATCCTCTCCTCTCCGCCGCGCACCGAGGGCTCCGGCACTGAGCGGCAGCGGCGGCGGCGGCGGCGGCAGCAGCGGCGGCAGCGGCCATTCTCTCTCTTCCCTTGTCCATCTGCGTCCCGCGTCACGCGCCCTCATTTACATACGAGCGGCGCAGGCACGAGGCAGGGGCGCGAGCCCTCGGCGCGAGCCCCGGAGCGCGCGCCCCCCGGAGGGGGGGGGGGTTGATTGACACGTGTCACTACCTTCCCTCTGCCCTCCCCTCCCCCTCCCACCGTTCCCTCGGGGAGAGGCGGGGAGGGAGCGCGGAGAGAAGGAAGCAACCTGCCGCTTCCGCTGACCCCGCCTCCTTATCCACTCCCTTCCCCTCCTCCCCCCGGAGTTTACTCAGGCAAGCCATACTGCTCCCGCCGTCCGCGAAAACCCTGAGCGGGAGCGAGAAACCCCGAGGCCAGCCAGGAACCCGCGTGCTGGAGGAGCGGACGAGCAACGCCTCCCCTTCTGCCTTCGCGCGGGGCTCTGGAAGTCCGCAGACTTCATTTCCCAGCCTCCATTGCGCGAGGGTCCCGAAGCGGAGCTCACAGGCGCGATGCTGTGCACTCTGGGCTTTGTAGTCCATTCGCGTTGAGGCGCTCTCTGATCTGGTTCGCACTCTCCAGCTGGCAGCTTGGCCCTGGACTTGAAAGGCTTGGCTTGTGGTGGGGTCAGCCTCGCACTCCCTCCACCCAAATGCCTGCAGGGAGGGCCTTGCCCTGGCCTATGTTTAGCTTCCTCAGGTTCTGCAGGGGGAGTTCGATGGGAAACCTCAAAGAGTTGGCTGTGTCTTGAGCGGCCAAGCTGCTCTGTAAGTGCTGGAAACTTTCAGTGTCATTGTCATCTATCTTCACTCCTCAGGGAAAGGGCAAGCCAGTCCACTGTATTCAGGGAAGGATGTGCAGGGACATCGGTTTATGAAGCGAAGAGGGAAAAAAAAAAGTGAGAATATTTGCAAAGATCAGGGAAACGATAAAGGGACTTTTCACCATAAATAATGGGTATAGCTGGCTAAGAACTCCAGGAGGGAAAATTTACATATTCCCCAAAACGTAAACTCTTGGAGGATTATGACTCACTGAGACTTTGGTGCCTAGACATCTTTTTTTTTTTCCCCTGCCTAACCTTAATACAGTGCGTGGCATGGGATTTAGCACTTCGTAATTGTTAAGGATGGATCCTGCGCTGTTCTAGAGAAAATTTCCTTGGAGAGAGGAGAATCTTTTGATTAAGTATATACTTAAAATTACTTTTTTTTTCTCTTTTGCACCAGAGACATTTTACATTTATTTTTGTATAGTCACAGGGAACTAAAAGTTGGTGAGCCATCCACAGTTTACAAAGAAATCCTGTATGTTACCCGACATTTATGCTCAGCTTTGCAGAGAAATACACTTTAATCCTTGGGAACTCATAAATTCTCAGTTATGTAGTACCCTCTATTTTTGTGGCATATTCTTATTTATCATTCTTGCTTCTTTTTATGAGAGAGTGGTTTTTGCTCAGTGTTCCCTCACTAGTAAAAATGTAACATTAAATCTTCATCAAAACCTTTTGAATGTGAAGTTTGAAGCCATGTGTGGTAGTGAATGTTTGCGATCCTATCATCACTCGGGGCTAGAATAAGGGTTATGTGTAGAACAGAGATAGGCTAGACCATGTCTCCGTAACAAATTCAAAATAAGAGGTATAGTACAGAACTTTGTTTTTCACTTTGTAATCTCCATACTTCAGAGTGGGAAGATGGAAGAATTGTTCCATGTCCATTCAAGTCTCGTTAGCCACCATGACAAGATGGAGGTGACCGAAAAAATCATGGCCTGGCTCTCAGAAGCCAAAGTAACATGTCAACAAAAGCATGTGATCATGCTAACTTCAAAGGAATGACACATTAAACAACTTTGAGAGCCTAACAAACCACCCCAAAACTTCACAGCTTAAAATATCAACTATGGGACGATGAGATGGCTCTGTAGGTAAAGGTACTTGCCACAATACTAACAGCCTGACTTTGATCTTTGGTAAACCCATAGTGGAAGGAGAGAACTGACTCCTCCAAGTTTTCCTCTGACCTTCCTCCACACACATACTGCTACACAAGCATGGGCACTCACACATAGAAGTGTGCATTTACATGCACACAGACTAAATAGATAAAATGTAAAAAACATTAAACAACTTTAGTTAATGATTCTATGAAATAACAATTTGTCATAGGCTTGAATGGACCTTTATGTGTCTTTGACTGGGGCTTTGACAACTAGACAGTTGCACTTCTGAGTGATAGCTGGCAGCCAGATCCCAGAAACCAATATCCCTACTCTTCAAGGGGCTACCCCTGACTTGTTCACATGGTGGCTGTCATGGGATTCCAAGAGCAGCATGAGGGCTAGCCCCTTTTCATAAGCATTTTTAAAGTCTCAACGTGGATCATATTTACGTCTCAATGGCTAAAACAAGCAACATGGCCAAGCCCAGTGTCAATATGGGTAATACATTATGCTACACAATAGGAAGATGTGTAAGTCACATGAAAAGGGGTACTTATATGTATCTCTCACATAAAGGGGAAATGCAAAGAGGAATAGAACAAATCTCTATTTGTGAGAAAAGGGGAAATCATGACTATATATACTGACACATATAAACGGAATTAACTTTAGGAATCAGTGTTGTTGACAATAGAATCTTTCATAGCAAGTATGTCAGCAGCATATCATCACCCCTATAAACATCCAGCAGTCAAGTTTCACTCTGAGTATCCGGTGTTATTCCTGCCACTCACATGACACTTAATTGTTATCTATTGATTTGATAGATACTCAGAATATCTATAAAGCTAACAAGAGAAAGAGGGTAATATCCAAGATTGTCTCCTACACCAAAAAGTCAGCTGCAACAGACTTTACTATAACAACAGATGTATGATATGAAGATATTAATATTCTGTAAAAAGATAGTCTTGCCCTATGTACTTCCTGTACCTATTGTATCATTCATCCTTGTTATGTAACAAATCAATCTTTAACAGTACTGTAAAAGCACACCATTCCTTACTACTCTTAAATTTACAGGTCAGATGGGCTGTTGTGCTGATCTGGCAAGGCTCTGCAAATCTTGTTTGGGATTTTCTGCCACTGCTGGAGCTTATTTATGTAGAGCTAGCATGTGAAGCATAAGAGGGTAAGTACTAACAACCACGTGTTCTTTCTGTTTGCTTGCCGGTCTTTTGTTGGCCAAAGCAAATACAACAGGTAAGCTCAGACTATGAGTGGAAGGGGACTAACAAAGCAACTACAGAAAGGTGTGAATCATTAGAGTGGTTCCAAACTCCCAGGAATATCCACCCAATTTCACTGTTACCCACCGAAAGCTGAAAGTACATCTGTGACTTCTTATACAAAGCGAAACCAGCTGGCAAATCTCTGATGTATTTATTTGACCATTTAGCAATCAAATTTAAGGTACATTTTAAGAAAGCATGATATAATGAAGATAAAACAGTAGTTTGCAATATATTTCCACAGTAAAAGAATAAAAAAATTGCAGAATAATATCACTAAATTCATATTTTTAAAGTACTAACCTAAAGTGAAAAGGCGTTCTTTTACTTTATTATAAAAGTAAATAATCTAGTACACTAGTAGGATGGTAAGTACCTAATCAATTATAAGTTTATCAATATATGTAATACAAAGTACATACAATTTCATAAAATTGAAACACTTGTGGGTTATATATTTATAATTATAAAACATAAGATACCTTAATTAATCATAAAAAGCACAATAGTGCTGACAATCCCTATTTTGAGTATCTGCTTTTAAATAATCACACTTTATTTTATTTCTTTTAGTTCTGAACTATAATGTATTGCACTGATTGGAGATTTGAAAAAAAAATCAAAGACACCCTGATTGTATCATTCCATATTGTATACATGTATCCAATTAGCACCCTATATTAATAATTCACAATTAAAATTATAATCAAAAAGAGAAAATTCAGAGAGAAATTTGACTAATCAGTTATTTAGGACATGGACCCTAACCCTTGTACACAAACTTTCTGATCAGCCACATATTATTTTAGACATTATGCAGATACCTTCAATCCATCTGTATTCATGAACAGAAGATTTCATAGTCTCCTTTTTTCTTAGGAGAGCATAGACTATGGACAATATCATATCAGATTTATACATGTAATACATTTATTATCAATACTGCAGCAGAATCTTAAAGATAGATAAAATAGATTATTTTATCTTCTTTATGCATTTCCAAATGCCACCAACAGCTTTTTGTACATTTTGTAGAAACAAGGATAAAATTTTAAAAGAGAATCATAATTCAGGAAACATATACAATGGTGATGAAATGTGTTTCTTGGATTGTAATATCTACCTCTTTCCTATCCTACAGCTAACCTGAATATACAATAAGAACAGGCTTAATATCTACTTCAATTCTGTCACACATCTCCATGTGGCTTATCAAAAACTTTATTCCTTCTGCTCTGAAGTAACTACAACTATTGAGTATTTTAAAAGCATTATTGATATATCCTTTTATCTTCATAACAAATATTAGTTAGTTAGACATGATTTTTATTTTATTGGTAAACTTCGATGATAAACTGCCAGTATAACCAATACTGAAATTAGGGTGAAATATTTCCAATTTTTAAAAAGTAAAATGATACACCTCTGAGATTGGTACTTGACTTTAATACCAGTTGCTTTCTTCTTTCTCTTGCATCCAGCCATGATAATAGGACCTGGTGTACCACTGCCTTTTCTGTCCATTAAGAATCACTCCCAGGGATTAATGCATTATTATCACTTTCATTTTCAGTCCTTTAATAAAATCTCCATGTATTAGAGGCTCAATAATGGCAATTTGATCCAATTTAGTAGAATTGTATGGCTCAGTATCAAAGTCAAATAAAATGTTATCTATGGCCCCTAAACTATTAGTTTAGAAGAAATAAAGATTTATATGGGTCAACTCATAGATTTACAGATAGGGAAACTGGGATCCTGAAAGAATAAGCAATTTATGTAAGTCACAATGCTTGCAAGTAAGATACCTAATCCAGAGTTTGATTTCCTTATTCCTAATTTTGGCTTTTTGGGCTTTTTCTTTTGCTTCATTTTTGAGAGTTAATAAGTGAGTACTCTATTTACATCATTTCCACCCATCCTATTCCTCCTTCCAGCTCCTGTGCTTCCTACTTCT